TCCTCTTTTTTGCTTGCTGAAATATGGTAACCCTAGGCTACAGATGCTTTGCCGGCAGCTATACTGCCAGAGCCCTCTAGTGTGGATGCAGCTTATGTCTACAACAGAAGGAGTATTTCTGTCAACAGAGTTGCACCGCTTCCCGCAACAATGTTAGCTCTGCTTCTGTCGGCACAGCTGTGTCTGCCTTGGGGTTTTTGCTGGCATAGCTGTCAGCTAGGGGCTGTGGTTCCCCCCATCCCACCCCCAACTGACATAGGTATGCTGACAGAACTCTGTAGAGTGGACCTGGCCTGACTGAAATGCCAATGTATGGAAGAGTAAGCGAAAGTGGAGGAAGTGGGCTGAGCCTGGAGAAGGAGTGTTGGCATGGGTGACAGCCTGCTATGGGGAATTACCTGAGAGTGAAATCCACAAAGACCTTTGAAGGGTGTAAAGATCAAGGAGCAAGAGGTATTTTGGGGAGCATTCAAAAAGGGCTTGAAGTAGGAGCAGTGGGGATGGAATGAAGAGAAGGAAACTGCCGAGCGACTCTCAGGAAACACTTCCTACCAGTGAAGTAAGACCATGAGATTCTAGTGTCCAAAAGGGGAGTGGTGGAAGCCCCATTGCTTGAGACATTTAAACGGGACAGCCCTACATTGATGGGGTGGTTGAATGGGCTTGATGTGACCTATGGTAATGGGTCTTGTCCATCGTTAATGCCTATGGTTCTTCTCTGCCTCTTTTGCATTCTGCCTTTTTGGGATTCAGTTTGAAGCCCATCTTCAACCTGAGGGACAGGAGCACCAGTTTGAAGACCTCAGTGCTGACCTGGTTAGGTAGACATTAGCCAGGGAGTCACCAGGCATGCTCCCCTCTGCAGGCAGCCTCTTGTGTTCTGTGGAGCTGCCTGAACTAAGTGTATTGTCATGTACAATCAGCTTCGTTATGTTGGCTAGTGCAGTATCGCAAGTCTGTTGCTGGATCAGTTGATCTCAACCTGCCCCTAGGGCAATCTTGGTTACTGTCCCCTCCCTTTTCTTCTGCCCCTCCACCCCCCAGCCCTCATCAGCTTAGGCCTTGGCTACACTTGGGAATTCACAGTGCTGCCGCGGCAGCGCTGTGATGCGCGAGTGTATTCGCGCCGCCAGTGCTGCGAGAGAGCTCTTGCAGCGCTGTATGTACTCCACCTCTCCGAGGGGAATAGCTTGCCGCGCTGCAAGTGCTGATTACACTGGCGCTTTACAGCGCTGCACTCGCTGCGCTCGGGGGGGGGGCGTTTTCACACCCCTGAGCGCAGCAAGTTGCAGCGCTGTACAGCGCCAGTGTAGCCAAGGCCTCAGTCAAGAGTGTACTAATGTTCCGATTTTGTCTGGTTTGGCAAATGAATTGCACAGCATCAGTGAATTGTTACGAATCATTAAAGGTGGGTGAAGTCTCAAGGTTCAAAGATGTGGCTCAGTTTGGAACAGGTCCCAAAAGTTTGGTGCTAATCCCACCTTTGAGACATTATCCAGGCGTCGTTGCTCTGGGAGGCACGCTTGGAATCTCCTGAGGATGGGTTTTCCTATCAGTTGCCCAGCACTTCCATCAGCTCCCCCAAATCCAAAGATCCTGCTGCCCGGAGAGACCCGTGGGGTTGTCAGTTGGCCTCTGCCACTGCCGTAGGGGGAAGTGGGACCTTCATAGACTCTCTGCAGGCGGGAGGGTGACATTCCTACATTTAAGGGTGCAGGATACAGAAAACATGTCAGTCAAGATACAAGCGCCATATACTAGGATAGTAGACCAGATTTTTTGCAGAGACAGACGTCATGTTGTGTTCACTTCTCAGTGCAATTTGTGACAGAGGAAACACCTACCATGAAAAAGACTTTGCTTTTGTTCTTTCTTTGGCGGGAGGGGTGTGTGTGTGTGGTGGTGGTGTTCTCTTTCATCTAAAATAAGTCATTCAGACTGAAATTGCTTTTTGTTTATTGTGTTTGGAGAAACACAATAGCTGTAGTCCTAACGCAGGCATCTTGCTGGGGAGCTGAATTCCGTTGTGTTTTCTGTAACATCACAGGAGCTGAGAGTAATCTGGGCCCTGAAAGAAGGCGAGAACCTGCCAAAAGGAACTCACAATAAAGGGAGAGACTTCTTTCTTGTGAGTAAAACACCTGCCAGGAATCTGCTAATTACACAATAACTTTATTATGTCCCACTCGGAAGAACAAACAGTACTTGAAGTCTGAGAAATTAGACTAAATGAATGCAGTCAGAATGTCTGAATGAAGCACATATTCTCTGGATCCTCTCAGAAGCTCCAAGAGAGTAAAATGACTTCAAGACTCTCTTCTTTGTTGCTAGCGCTACATAATAAAGTAATTGTGCAATTAGCAATAGATTAGTGACAGGAGAGAGACATTTTCTACTCGGCGCAGGTAGAAGGTGGAGCAGCTCTGCTCATCTTGGCTTAACCTTCTGTTAGCCCCTGGTAGCTTCCGGAAAACAGCAGAGACGCATCACCAGATGGCTGGGCTTTTTCTTCCCTTGGTGTCTGAATAAATTGCAGTGTGTTTGATTAGGGTGCTGAGGAATGCGTCCTTGCAAAAGCTTGCGTTGGATCCTTCTCATTCCCAAGCTCCTCACAGTTTCCCATTCATGCAAGACAGATGGCTGAGGCTTGCAATTTTCGGCTTTACCAGGGGCATGGGGAAATGGTGGTTGTGATCATGGGGCATGTGGAAAGAACATTTCATAATGATCCCTCCTGGCCTCTGAAGTCCCGTGCGGTTTTCTGGCCTTGAGAACTTTCCGTCATGAAAGCTGATGGGCAGTTTTACAACTGGGATTGTAAAAATCAGGGTGTGACTGAGGTTTGTAACATATTCTTGGGTTTGAGAAGCTGGACCCTGGCTATTAGGTCACCTGTCCCTTTCTTCAGGGCATCCTTTTGCGTATGAAAATGGGTGTGTGTTGGGGCGGGGTTAGAGCAGCCGTACTCTGGGATTTGGATGTGTGTGTGCATGTGCATGCTTGGAGGTGAGGAGGTCTGTGTTTGCAGGAAGTGGGCTGTATGTTTGCAGTGTTTGGGCCATTAGGGTGCCTGAGGGGAGGTTGAGTGTGCCCATTTGGCAGTGTTAGGATGAGTGCGTTTGCCCATGCTGGGGCACGTGTGGTTGGAGGGGTGTGTACATGTGGTGTTTTGGAGGGGGTGGTTTGTGAAAGGGCAGGGAGGTGTACACGGATGGTGAAGTATTTTGGGGTGTCTGAGAAGGAGAGGGGATTGGTGTTTGGGGTGTTAAGGTGATTGTGGATGTGGGTGCGTTGGGAGAAGGGAGGGAACTATTTGTGTGTAAGGGTCTACTGTGCAGGCTGCTGCAATGGTTCACCCGCCATGCAGTTCCCACTGGGTGACAAGTGTCAGCCCTTGGCTTAGAAGGACAGCGTGGAGAGAGACTCCGGGCTTCTCCATTAGTCCTGCTGCCCAGCAGTCTGACCGAGTGGCGAGATCGATAAAGCATCCCTGGACGTGAGCAGCAGATGGGGAACGGGGAGTTAAAAAGGGCTTGAGATGGCAACAGTCAAATTAGAGAAGATGGGGAGGAGGAACGCTCCTGAGCCTATTACAGCTCAGCCCAAAGCTTGCTCCAATTGCTGCCTGGCTCTGCACCATGCTTGGGGCTTGCTCCTGGTGCTGGCTGTGGGTTCTTGTGGCAGAGGTGGAGAGAGGCGGAGCGGGGAGAAGCCAACACTGGAGTGCCAGCAAGGAGAAGCTCTGCCAGTGGGAAAATCCTCCTGTAGCCTCTTCTCAGGCAAGAGCAGGCCAACAAGTTGATGGCAGGTGGAGAAGGTTGGGGGGATTCCCCTGGATTGCAGTCAGAGAGCACTGGCTGTTTTTCTTCTCCCGCTGTCTGTGAATGCTCTGGCTTCGGAGGGGCTTCGGTGGAGAGGGTGTGGGTTGCTCAGCACACAGTTAGGAAGGAGCGGGGTGCATTTCCATCACTGTGCAATTCACTCAGGATTGACTCCTATGGATCACAGGTTCCCAAGCACATCAGCTGCATCGAGCGGTTGTGTACATACAGGCAGGGAAAGAGGGAAAGAGGAGGTGTACCTGGGTGGTGAGAGGGAAACGTCATCTGAGCACAGCGTGTGACCCAGGAAGCCCTATTTGTGAATGCTGCTTCTCCAGTCTGCGCTCTCGGTCCCCTGTTTAATCTCTCGGTTCTCATATCACGCCCAGCACGGTAGTATATGAACACCACAGAGGCTGAACTGTCCTGCAGGGCCTAAAGACGGTGGCCCTCCAGGGCAGGGCTGAAGCCTGTTCTGTTGCTGCCCGTGCTGTAGTTCTGGAGGGAGAGGACTTTGGTCTCCAGGATTCAGTCTGGCTCGCTCACCGGAATGGTGAACGGGACGGGCTCTCCCCAGGACCCATGCATTGGCTGGGAGATTCCCAGGATAATTAATCCTGTTCAGGAGGTTAGATTAGTCTTTGTCCAGCTGACGCCACCAACCTGGGTGAACTGTATGTAACAGTGAACAGAAGAACCACACAGGGATCTGGGCCGCTTGTCTCTTCATTGTGTTGTCTGATGTTTTTGTGTGTGATGGATCTAGGTCCCGTGGCAGTGATCAGCGGGGAGGAGGATTCTGCCAGTCCCCTCCATCATATCAACCATGGCATCACCACACCCTCGTCGCTGGATGCTGGCCCGGACACGGTGGTGATCGGCATGACCCGTATCCCCGTCATCGAGAACCCCCAGTACTTCAGGCAAGGCCACAACTGCCACAAGCCAGACACATGTGAGTGCCTTATTCAGCTGGATTCTTCTGCTTACGTGAGGACAAGAATGGGGGCAGGGGTGGGGGAAGAGAAGTGGGTGGAGAAAGAAGGATGAGGAGGAAGAGGTAAAGGAAGAAGAGGATGTGGGGGAGGGTAATGGGTCTTGTATGGTCCAGAAATGAAAGTGAACCCTAAGGTAAATCTCAGGTCTCAAAAATCACAACATACATGAAGGTGCTTCAGAAGGAGAATTCCCACCCTCACCCTCCACTCCACTTTCATCCTCCTACCACCACCCGCTAATCACCTTCCCCATTCAGGACAGAGACAGCCTAGAATGGAGCCTACAGACGTTTGCTTTGGGCACTGCACCAGAGGCGTGAGCCAGTGCAACTTGAGAGCACAAGGCATTAGAGAGACCTGCTTCCCATGTGTGATAAGAATGCATCTACCCTTCCTTCTCCAACAATTCCCTACCCTCATAGCAGCGGGATTGCCTCCTTGAACACCCTGCAGCCCAAAGGGCAAACACAGCAGTGTCTACAGGTAGGGCAGATACACAGAAAACACTTGGAGCAGGAGAGCAACAGATTCGGACACTCCATTTCTTACACTCAGGGGGGCCTCTGAAAAGCTTGAAATCTGCATTGTGAGCAAAATCCATTAAATAGCAAATATCTTCCACACGAGGTGATAAACTGTCCATCCCAGCTTAGCGGGAGCCCTCATAAACTCTGATAGTAAAAGTGAAGGGCTATTAAAAAAGATGCACTCTTGGTCACCACATACCACGACTGCTTCCCGGGCCACTGTCTTTCAATACGTGGAGCCCATTCACAGTCAGTGGATCAGATACAAACCTCTCGCTGCACCCTCAGCCTTTGCCAATTCCTAGAAGCAACCACCCCGCACTCCAGTTATTGTTCAGGTTCTTGGAATATTTTGCATTTCTTGGTTCAAGTCAGGATTGGATGTAACAAAATGTCACAAGGAAAGTTATTGTCACTATCTTTCCGGGCTGACCAGAAGCAGGAAGTACCAGGGATCTTGCTGGAGAGCCAGACTTCCAGTCTGTTTTTGCCAACTCGGGAGGCTGGAAAAATTTGAGTCAGCCACTGAGCTTTAAGGTGTTCGCAGGAATCAAACTTCCACACCATTAGAAATTCACCCAGTACTGAACATTAGGCAAGAAGTTGGTTCTCCATGGCTTCCTCTTTTGCAATCAGATAAGCCCGAACAGCATCCCTTTCCCCTCCTGCTGAGATGTCAAGGGCTGGTCCTATCGCTGACACTCACAAGAACTGATAGAGAGAAACATGAGCTGGACCTCCAATCCTGGACTGTTGCTTGTTGCACTTCAATCACCAGAGCAATGGGGTGTATCCAGTTACTGTGCCTGGCTTTCCCTTTGATTTGTATTTTAATGTATTTCTTTTGGTCTGTTTGTACAGGGATGGGGTGGAGTGTTTTGGTTAGGCAGAAGGAGCCAAATAGTGTGGTATTTCTGTATCATATTTATGTTTTATATTTCTTATAGCACCTCATCTCAAAACACTTTACAGACTCTGATGGCTTTGATTCTCTGCTTTCTCTCTCTCAACTCTGTAATCTATGGTATTTCATAGTACACCAACCATTTTGGTGTGTAAGCGCCATTGTAGTAGTGGTGGTTGAAAGTCAAAGGATTCAATTTACTCTGAGTTTTGTGGGGCTGCCCGGGAAGTAAATCGCAGCAGAATTTTCACGAAATGGTCCGAAAGTTTCACGGGTTCCATTTGATTAAGATCTGAAAAGTTCAATATGCAGCAGAACCATGAGGGGCTGGAATCTGGATCATTTAACCGGGCCACATGGGGAGAATATAACATTGTCAATAAATACATGCACAACAGATTACAGGGGAAGCACTTGCCTCTCTGCTTACCTGCCTGGAATCATCTGCACGGTTCTATGTTTCTGGCATTAGTTTAGTATATTTTAGTGCCCAATCCTGCAGCTCTTATTCAGACCTGTGACTTCAGTAGCAGTGTGGCCTGAGCCCTGGAAAGTATTATAGTTCACCTTTACAATAAATAAAACCAACCAGGCTCTTTGGAGCTTCCATTTGGTTTTTATTTTACCCAAGCTGTTCTGCCCAGCCCTCATTTGGCGTGTTGGGTCTGGCTGGAGGTGAGTGACTGTTCCCATTCACCCAGCATTTTACACATTGGACCTCTGGTTTGCTCCTCTTAAAATATTTCTCCCTCCTCCCCCTTCCCTCTGTGAAGGAGAGGTGAAGCCCTTTAGATAGGCAAGCCTATTAATACCCAGCAGAGTCCATCCAGAAAAGGGGCTGATACAATGCCTGGACATACCAGTGCCAGTTAGCCCCTGCCCTTCTGATCACTGCCTTCCTGCTAAGTCCACTAGCTGGATATTAGACTATGAAGCCTATCGCTAGCAATGGCATTTACCCCCACATAACCTGTAGAGCCCAGGTTCACATACAGGTTTTGTTAACGTATCATCTATAGACACTGGAACGTGGCTTCTCTCTTTTTTAGCTTGGTCCTCCTCCCTGGTTGGCTGTGACGCTGGATGTTTGGGCTGAGGACACTCAGACACCTGTTACTGAATTACAGTGAGGAGAGAAAACTCTCTGTGCTTAATGCAGTATTAATAGTACATTGGTGTGATATAGATTTCCGTCACCCTCTGCACTAACAAACATCGCTTATCATGCGGGAATGATGGATGTTTATTCCCAGCCACTTAGTTCTGCATAATGGAATTGCAGATGAAATATGGAAAGTGGCTTGCTGCCTGCTAAGCTTTGCCCCCTCTTGCTGCTTCTGCACAAACCTGTCCTGCGGGGGGTACTCTTACAGACCCATTAATTACTGCTGTCTGCGAGGAGACAGACGTTTGCTTCTGACTATGGATGTGCTGGGGTTTTTTCCCTGTCAATACGATGAAGGATGCTGGAGCTCTCTCTCTCACCTGTGATTTTCTGGGAGCTCCTGAGACCAGGGCCTTTCTCTCACTCACCTACTTGCTGCTGCTTCCAGAATTAGACAGACAGAAGGGAAGAGTCATTCTTCCCTTCCTAGATGTGGGTTTGGGGAAAGGGCCTGGAAGCAAATGTGCCACCCTGTCCCTGTGTTGGGATGTATTGACACTTTGGGACCTCGTGCCCTCTGCTCCTTCCAGCCATAACTCCATGTGCACCGGTCAGCACCAGGGCTTGGAAGGATGCATTTTGTTAATAAATAAAAGCTTCAGCTTCAGTAGTTCTCACTCCCCTGCAGAGAGTTAAGCTGAGTGTCAAATTTAAGATGGGGCATGTTGATCTCAGAAGAATTGGTGGCAATATAGAGTCCCTTTTTTCTGGGATACGGAATAGGGATCAGGTGGGCATATCTGCTTACTGAGATCTCAGGGTATCGGAAGAGCAATAGGCATGGATGAATCTGTGCCTTCACTGTCATCTGGAAATAGTTGTGTTTCTTTTCTAAAATGCATGTAAGTTGTTTTGGGCTAGGGCACCGTATGGAAGGGAACTCATCACAATTCAGTGTGCAGTGGGTCAGAAGGTTCCACGAGTGATGCTGGTGCTGAAGCAAAACGTGACTCATTCTACCCTCCAACGTTTCCTGAAAACGGCAATTGGTTCCTGTGGGCAGGAAACTGCAGTTTGCTACAAAAATTAACCACACAATAGAAAAAATGGCAAGTGTCTGCCCAAGAGACATTAGCACTGATGCGGTACCCTGATGCTGGTGGGAGGGACCAAATGTCACTGTTTTGACCATGGACAGCTGTGCTTGTTGACAGCAATGGAGACTTTCCACTCTAGCTCCAATTTGCCAGTCCCCACCAGACTAAAAAGGATCCATTTTGCCCCCGACTCTGATTCCAGGTGGGTGATGGAAGAAGCTGGACATTTCTTAGATCTAAAAGCTTCAGAGAAGTTTTGGATGAAAAGGTTTGGAGGCTGACCTTGCTTTTGATAATGGTAATAAGCACCGGCTATGTTGAGGAGATTATTTATTAGAATCTCTTGAGTCTGTACCATCAGGTTCTATGCAAACACGGTAGCTAACATTCAGTTGGCTTCCTGTTTTGTCAGAACAGCAGTATCCCAGGGAGCAATCGTTCTTGAGGAAAACTGGCTTTTCTGAGACTGTTCCAGGGCAAAGCTAGGAAGAAAAGGCCTCTAAAAAATGAAAAATACTTTCCAAGAAGGGATCCGAACTTTTCTGAAACTCAGGCATTTCTCAGTTTGCGTCTGGGGTGAAGGGTCAGTCGGGGCTGCTCTCTCAGAACAGGACGCTCTGGCCCCAGTAAAAACAGTGATGCTGGAGTCATTCAGAGCCTTCTTTGATTTTGTTGTTGCTGCTGCTGCAGACTGGGCACGACGGTTGTTTGGTTTGCTTTCCTCTGTCGGGACTGGTGCAGCCTTAGCACTGCGATGCATTCACCATGTGGGCGGAGCCGATGTCCTTCTATAGAATACTAATGAGGGTTTTTTTTACAACCGCATTTATTACAGGCTGCCCTGACATAATTGCATATTCGAAGTTAGTAATTACACGTATTCACACTAATTAAGTAATTAGATATAATTACGCTAACTGTAAATACATGGTAATCGGCTAAAAAGAAGTACTTCAGAAAAACCAAGGCAAATCACACAATAAAGACACCATCAGCAGCCTTTCCGCACATCACTCTGTCTTTATCTTGCATTTGGAGTGCAGTTTGAAAGGGAATCTGTGATCCATTCAAAAATCATACTCTTTAAACAAACGGATTTCCTCCCCTGTCTCTAATAACACTAGAGAGTCAAAATGGGAGAGGATTTTTAAAAATCCAGTTTTCCTCTCACTGCTGATGCTCTTTGTTCACCAGTTGTATTTTCTTTAGTTTGGACAAAGGAAACTGACTAAGTCCATTCCATTTTGCTTGTAATCAGTTTTGCTCCCAGGTTCTCCAAGATGCACATCTTAGGTTGCAAATGTTTGCAGTTTATTTGTATGAA